TTATATAGATGAATTTTACTTATATAGATCGATTTTATTTATATAGATTCACTGGAATTACATAGATTAATTTATTTATATAGATTCACTGGAATTATATAGATAAATTTATTTTTATAGATTAACTGGAATTATATAGGTTAACTGGAATTACACAGATGAATTTTATTTATTTATTGAACAAGTGTAGGGATGAAATAAATAAATAAAAATAATCCATCTAATTGAAAAAGTGTGGGAGCTTTTTCAGTGCTCAATAGGAGGAGTTCTGGTCTTTGTGGATGCTGCAGGACCCTTCTCTCCCTGGTATTAAATGGAATTTTTTTTAATGGAATTTTTTAAATAGAATTTTTTTAAATGGAATTTTTTATTTGGGGTGTTGTAAGGTTTTTTGGGTGTTGAAAAATATCTGGGAATAATGTGAGAGGAGACACCAGGTAACAACCAGTGATGTTAAAAATGTGCTTTGCCACTCAAAACATTTTGTCTCTTTTACTAAATAGACCCAAAACGGAATTTAAATATTTTAAACCCCTCAGTGAGGTGSCMAAGAGGGACCTCTAGTGAGGCATCAACACATTCCCTGCCTGCCAGGGAAYATTCCCTGATAAAATCCTGCTGGATAATCCCAAAAATGCTGCATTTCTGTCTGCAGGAGCTGAAGGAGAGCGGGGAATTGCTGCCGGTGCTGAAGGGAGAGAATTGATGGGAGGAGAAATCCCTGTGACAACACCCACTCAGAAATTGTGGAGCAACAACAGCCTCAGCAGCACCACGAGAGAAAACAGCAAAAAAAAAAAAAATATTCTGTGTTTGCCCTGTCTGCGTGGAAAGGTCTCACTGAGAGATAAAAGGTCAATTAAAACTCACTGCTCCAGGATTTCGGAGTTCTTTATTATTGCTCTTTATTATTAGTTCTTTATTATTATTGTTGGGAGTTCTTTATTGTTCCTCTGTCCATCCCTGAGTTATTTCGGGCTAAATTGCACTTTGGTTTTTGGGGCTCAGCTTTCATTATGGGATATTTATGGGGCAGCAGCATTTCCTGTCCCTCTTAACTGTTTTTGTGTCTTGTGAACAAGAAAAGCACCTTTGAAACCTTCACCCAGCACAGCTTCAGGGAGTTGTTAATGAGTTCTGTCCTCTGCATCCTCATTAGGGTCACAGTAATTGCTTTGGGGTGTTTGAAATGGGGTTTGGGGATGTTTAAATGGTGTTGGGAAGGATGTTTAAATGGTGTTGGAAAGAGGTGCTGGTGATCCCTGAGGATCTGCAGGGACATGGAAAGGTTCCACCATTGGGCTGATCCTTCATTCCTGGACTCAGGGGATTTAATTTGGGGTTAATCCTTGTCTCAGCACCTGGGTTTAGGTTAATTCCGAGCCCAGAAACTCCTCTGAGGGGCTGCTCTTTATTAGGAGGGGACAGGGGTGACATTTCCTTAGGGGACAGGGGTGACATTTCCCAGCTGTACCTGGAATAAAGGGTCAGAGTGAGGTGCAAACCTTTAGGTTGGAAAGTTTTGGGAGCAAATTTGGGGCTTTATTCCTCCAATCCCAAATCCAATCAACCCTTGGAACCTAAACCAGAGCTGGTGGTGAAGTTAATCCCGGCCTGGAAAAGGTTGGTGCAGGATTCCTAGAGAGAGATATTTAATTTTCTGGGATTAGTTTTAGTAATTGCTATCAAATATATGTTATCACCATAAACCCAATTTGAATTGCTGTAAAAAATCCTCATCATGAAAACAAGCCTTAATTAATCCTCTTAAGTGAGTTGCAGATGCATTCAGGTAGTTGTCAGTAGGAAAAAAAAAATAATTTGTTATAGCAAAACGTGGCATCCCTGTGGTGAAATTAGGAGTTAGAGACTTTAATTAAATACTAAATACCAAATGCTATTTAGTTTTCCTTCAGAATTCAGCGTAGTGGAATTTATTTGGGGTTTATGGAGTCGTGTTAATGGATTTATGGATGTGCAACAGAGCAGCAGGGGAATAATTCCCTGACAAATTGGGCACCGTTTGGGTACCGTGAGCACGGGATATCCCATGGGAGCTGTTCTGGGAACCTTCCCGGGAAAATGGGGAATTTTGCCCCAAAAGGAATTAAGGCCAATGGTGCTGGAATCCCCCAGGAGCAGCGGAGAGGGAGATCCTGAGCTTTTCTGAGGATGTTCCTGGTTCCTGCTGCCCATCAGCTTTTGGGGGCAGCTCAATCACTTAGGCCCTGGTTGTGATTTCCTCCTTATTTTGCAATGTTTTCATTGCTTGTCCCGAGATTTAAGTCAGGTTCTTTTTATCCCTGCACTTTAATGTTGGGATA